GGGGCGGCGGAATTCCCCGGCGCCGCCGGCCTGCGCGCCCATTGGCCCGCACCCCATCGTGACGTCACGCCAGGGGAATGGGAAAACCCCGCGCATCACGTGATTTCGGGGGCGGGCCTGGCCGGGAAAGGGAGGCTGGGCGCTGTAGAGGGGCAAGGCTTGCGTCGCTGCCCAAGGTTGGGGTAGAGACAACTGAGGGCTGCTTAAGGCCATTCGTGCCCGACCCAGTGAGCAAGCTGGGAAACTGAGGCCCCCGCTCGCTCTCCCAGTAGGACTTGAACCTGCTGACTCTCAGGCTGAAGGGAAGCTTCAGGAGTGGGAAGTTGCCGGGGCTCTGCTGCTGCCGTTGGTGACAGTGATCTTCATCAAACCCTCAAGGTCGCTCCTCGCCTCAGTCTCTTCCACTGTAAATAAGGGATAAAGATACTGAACCAGCGTTTAAAGCTATGACATCAGAATGTAGATTTTTGTTTTGTTCCTTGTGTCCCCAACATGCAAAACATGGTAGAGTGGGTGCCTGTGAATGTTTTGGAGTAAGGGGATGGACGTTGTATGTATTATTTTGTACTTCGGTAGCCCAGAGTGCTTCGAGCACAGAGCTCAGTAGCTGAGTCTGGGAGTGGTGATAGTGTGGCCCTGCCATGCATATGGAGCTGTGGGCCCAGGCCAGGGACGGTGGCTCACCTGAAGAGCAAGCAAGCGCTAGGGCTAGGATTCTTGGGGAGGTGGCTGAGGCTCAGAGGGGCAGCTGGTGGCTCGATCACATTCCTGAGCCTCCTGAGCCCCTGAGAATGACATGTGGATCCCAAGCTTTGGCATCTTCCCTGTTTGCCTGTGTAAAATTTGGGGTTCCACCTCTTCGTGGCCCACGTGGACTCTGATCCATTCATCCACCCCACAGCTGTACTAGGGCACCACACTCGCCTGGCCTTCATCTCTCTGAACTTGTTTCCCATCTGTAAAGTGGGTCTGATAATAGGCAGGTCATGAGGATTAAATAAATTAATAGTTGACATTTGTGTACAGTAGAGCTCTTCCATGTGCCAGGCACTGTTGTAAACCCTTATGTCCTAAATGATTGTGTCATATTTCTTTGTGACCTTGGACAAATTCCTCTATTTCCCCAGGCCTCAGTTTTCTCATCTGTTAGGTGGGGATAAACAATCATACCTCACAGGCTTGTTATGAACATTCAACTCACAGAATTATTAGGATGTAACAGTGTCCTGCAGTGTTCCAGAAGCTGTACAGCCCTTGAGGCCTATGTTTCTGGTCAAGTCCATTGGTCTGTGACAAAACTCCTTGCCACTAAGGAGCCTAAATCCAAGTGAGACAGCTGGAAAGCAGATGAGCAAAGATGTGGTGGCAATGGGATTACAGAAGAATGAGGCAGGAAACACGAACTGAGTTTGGAGAGTTTGAGGTGGATCTGAGGAGAGGACATTTGACTTGAGATCTCAAAGTGAGGGGTCCATGTGGGTATCTGGGACACATGTTCAAGGCATGGCAAGTGCAAAGGCCCTGAGGTAGGAACATGTATGCCATGTTTAAGGAACAGCATGGGACCCCGGCTAGTGACTGCTGGGGAAGGCATGGAGGGAAGGCATGGAGGGAAGGCCAGAGAGAGGGCCTCCAAGGGGCCAGGGACACTGAGTAACAGGAAGTTTAATGGATAGAGCAGATCACAGACAGCGCTTAGACTAGAGCTTGGCTCATGATCAAGAGTGACAAAGAGTGACTCTGATGGGACCAGGAGCCCACCTGATTGCCCTCTGGTGAATCTCCTACAGGTTGGGCTGGGGATGGAGCTGAGGTGGAGCACTTGCAGGCACAGGGCCCTTGGATCCACCCCTAATACCACAAATAAATAATACGTAGTTTGTTGAGTGAATAACTGAAAGGACGTGTCAGAGTCAGATATTGTCCTGACTTCTGCTGGGTAGTGCGTGCACCAGGGCCAGCCTGGGCTTGTCTTGGCCACAGCTGTGTACACAACAGCCACAGCACAGGGCCTCTATTGCTGAGGAAGCATTTGCTGACAACATCAGCGTGTCTCAGTGCTGTGTCCGGATGTGCACCCAAGGCCCACATCTCCTGACAGGTCCGGAGGTCTGTGAAGAATCTCAGCGTTGCTCATGCTTGCACCAGAGGAGCCAGGGACACGTCAGTCACCAAGGCAGCGCTGGCTGTGTCGTCATGGCTCTAGGGCCAGTGGAAAAAGACTGACCTATCCTACCCAGTGACAACCCCAGGTGGGCAGGGCTGCCCCCAAGAGCCCAGAGGACCTGGAGGTCAAGGTGGATGCCCTGCAGAAGACATGGGCATTGCCACCTGGAGGGTGCCTGGGGTAGGGCATAAAGGAGCTGTGCGCCGGGTGTGAGCTTGGGGGCAATATGACCAGCTGAAGCGAGGGGCCAAGGCTCTAACAGTTAAGAGGTAGAAGTTTTCACCCACTGTGAGCCTACGCTCTTCCCGAGGACAATGGGAAACCGCAGAAGGCTGAGCAGGGGACAGGAGGTGTCAGGTTTTGGGGTTTTTCGGGGGAAAGTGTGCTGCGGATGGAACCAAGGCATTGTGCGTGGTACATGAATGCTGTATTCTGAGCTACATCCTCAGCATTTTATTTTTTTAAATTTTGAGACAAAACTTTTCCGTAAGTTGCCCAAACTGGCCTCAAAACTTTTTTTTTTTTTTTTTTTTCACAATACAGGGTCTTGCTATGTAGTTCAGACTGGGCTTAAACTCAGAGATCCTCCTGCCTTAGCCTCCCAAGGGTTAAAAGTGTACACCACCACGGTTTACAGCTTTGTGCTTTAGAGATTGTCCTACAGATGTGGTACACACCTGTAATCCCTGCACTCTGGAAGGCTGAGGCAGGAGAACCAAAAGTTTGAGCCTAGCCAAGAACCTTAGTGACTTAAGAAACCCTGTCTCTAAAACTAAAGAAGAGCTGGGTTGTGGGTTGTTACTCAGTGCAAACGCCCTGAATTCAATCCTTGGTATTGCCCCCCCAAAAAGTGTTCTCTAGCTGGATGGGGTGGGATGCAGTAGGAGGCCAGGCAGGGCCACAGAGCTGAGGAGCCTGCCCTAGCTGGTCTCAGGCAGCAGCCAAGGGGTGAGACTCCCAAGCAACTGTGGGGTGTAGCTTCTGGCCTTGCCAGAAGCCATGGGGTTGAGGCTAGGGGGAGCCAGGAGCAATGGGGCAAGTGGATCAGGGTGGCTTGAGAGCCTGCACCCCTCTAAGGCCTGCCTGTGCACCCCACCTTGGTTCCTAGAGGCCCTGCACAGAAGCCAGGCTGCAGCGCTCCAGGCCTCTCCAAGGACACTGGGGAGCCATGAAATGACATAGAGCAGGGTAGGGGACGAGACCTGCACCTGTCAGGGGCTGCTCTGTAAACAGCCGCATCTCCCAGGCACCGCTCATTCCCTGCCTGGCCCTGCAGGGTGGGCAGCACATGGAACCTGACGGACCAGGGCATCTGCAGGGCTCATGAGACCACCCCAAAGATAAACGTGGAAGTATGGGTTCCCAGCCTGCAGGCCTCCATCACCTCACTGCACAGTGCGTGCACAGTCCCTGCTCCCGGGGAGGGGGCGGGGAAGGCATAAGTGCCATCTGCTGACAGCCTGGCTGGGGTTGGGTCCTTGGTGCCAATGACACCCCTGCGCCTTTGAGGCACTGCAGCGCCTTTGGTGTCTGCCTGTCCCCACGTGCTGGAGAAGGGCATCCATGCGGGTGCCACGGCAGAGAGGAAGCCAGAGAGGAACATGACCCTCTGGTGGCAGCCACTGTAGTCCTGAGGTGGGCCTGTGGGACCCACACTCCTGGGCCTGCTGGTGGCGTAGAGCACACGCACGGCTCTGGGCTAGGAGGCCCCTGAGAGAACAGGAGGCAGGAAAGGCGTGAGAAATGGATCTGGCTCCAACCGCAAGTCACTGTTGCCACCATCCCATGCCTTGGACCTGCAGCAGAGCCACCTCCCGCGCCCCGAAGCTGCTCCAGGTGAGCGAGGGAGGAAGGCAGGCGAGGACAGGCAGTTGTTGAGTTTAAGTTAAACACCCATATGAATTTATTAAATCCAGACTGTGTTAAAGGGTGGCGGTCTGGGACGAGGGGCCAGGGGATGAAGGACAAGATGATGGATGACCGCAGGCATCCCACCTCAGGCCCTGGCCCCTCCCCTGCCCGGCCCCTCCCAGCGCCATCAGCGTCACCATGATTCCCAGTGGTGCTGGGGGGGCAGGGCGAGATGACCGGAAACACACAGGGACGGACGGACAGACGGCGCCTCCACGAACAGTGAGCCTGGCCTGCCTCGGCCCCCGCATCACACGCTGGGCCCTGGCCCAAGGGGACCTCCCACCGCCCGGCCCGATCTGTCCAGGGAAAGGGCCACAGGGAAGGGAGGCGAGGGGGCCGAGGTCGCAGGGTGTGGTCACCAGGAGCGGTTGAGGAAGACCACTGTGGTTAATCCTTTTTCTTGTCCTCTGCTGGCTTTGGAGGGGCTTCCTGGGGCTCAGATGTGGTGGCCTCCTCGCTGGCTGAGGTGGCAGGCGCAGACGTGAGGGCCCCCACTGTCGTGGGGGCCTGGGACACGGGGGCGGCTGCTGTGACATCCTCTCCGCTCATGCCAAACTCGTTCACACGGGTGGGGTCGACGCGGTAGATCCACCGTTGGTAGAGGTAGATGAAGAACACCACATCTGCGGGGACAAGAGGTGTGAGGGAGGATGCCCGCCCTTGGCCAGATGTAGAGATGGTCCCAGGCCTGGGTCTCAACCTTGCCCACCCGACCATTAGCGGGGCCTCACCGTCCCGCAGGCAGCCGATCCGGTACATGACAGGCATCTTGATGACAAAGGCGAACAGGTCATCGATGAAAGTGTTGAGGGCCTTGTAAGTGAGCATGCGCCATGGCAGGTGGGCCACAGACTTGAGCTTGTAGTTGATGAACAGCTGGGGGGTCATGGTGATGAAGCCTGCATGGCAGTGAGGGCAGAGACAGCATGAGCCCACGGGCCCCTGTGCCCTCCGACCTCCAGCGCGCTCTGCTCCCAGGAGCTCCCTGGGCACACGCTGCCTGGAGGCACTGGCACATGTCCTGTCAACCACACCTTTGCATGGCTCTGTCCCGGCACCTTCCTGACCTCAGTTTGAATGCTGCCTCCCCAGAAAGGTTTCCCTCACCCCCTCTCACATGCACCCAGCTCTGCCCTTCACAGACTCCTCCCCTGCCCTGAAGCTTGGCTACTGTTTGCTTCTGGGTTCCCCATGAGACAAAATGCTCCTCTGGGGACAAAACTGGAACCGTGCTGCTCAAGTCCTTCCAGGAGCCCTGCCTGCCCCAGGGCTGACGTGATCTGGACCGCCAGGCAGGCTCACCGAAGGTCAGCAGGAAGCCGTAGAGCATGCTGAGCACCCAGGAGTACCAGCCCTTGTGCTCCAAGTACAGGAGGCTGTAGACGGCGTAGCAGCCCAGGAGCGGGAACAGGATCCATGACAGGTACCGGAAGGCCATCTGCGGGTCACACAGGGCTGGGACCTGCTCCAGGCCCACCTGCCACCCCTGCTCCTCACCCCACCCACCCACACCTGGTCAGGCAGGCTGAGCCAAGGGGATTTCCAGGTGGCCCTGGGAACTCTGGACTTGGGCAGGAAGTAGGTACAGGAGGCGGGAGACACAGGGTGTGACGCGGGGCCCTAGAGGAGTCAGGCCCCTTCCCTTGGCAGCGTGTGGGTACTTGGAGACCACCCGCAGGCTGTGGGGACACTCACGTCGTCATACACTTTGGTGGAGGACTCGATATACGTGGACTTGTCTTTGAAGGTTGGGCAGGGGAAGATTCCCGCCACCCTGTGCTCCCGGTCCAGCTGCGCCCAAAGGAGGAGGCCGTGGTCAGCTGCGTGCTGCTCCCCCAACGCCAGAACCGGCTGCGGCCCTTCCCCACTGTTCCCAGTTCCCCTGCCCTACGTGTGACCCAAAAAATCCCCTGGTGTGAAAATCCCCTAGGTCCTGGGAGTGAGGCAGGCGTCGGGAAACCCCCAGGGACCAGCTCCAGGGTCAGCCTGGGCCACACCGCCGTCCTGCTCACCTCTCCACCCGCCCCTGTGACACCATGGCGCCCGGACTTGCCCAGACTCACCCGGACGTCCATGACCTTGGTGATCTTCCAGAGATCGATGAGGACCCCGATGAAGACGCTGACCTGCACCACGAAGTTGGTCTCGTTGTCCAGGATGTAGAGCAGAACCACGAAGGACTGGAAGACGCCGAAGAAGACGGAGCGCACGGACAGCCCCTCCAGGGACTGCCGGCTGTTCCAGAACTGGATGTCTGTGCGCAATGGGGCCGCAGAGTGAGGAGCTACCCACGGGGCAGAGGGGACTGCTCCTCTCCCCCACCAGGGCTCTCCTGTGCTGGGCACCCACCTGCGCACCCAACAGGCAGGACCTCTATGGTCCCCTGGTAGCACAGGAGCAACCAGCGCCCCAGGGCAATAATGAGAGCTAATGAGGGAAGCTGCCTCCCTGGGCTGCACGGCCTGGCATGGCAGAACCTGGCCAGACACCGGGTCTGTGCCACATCACGGTGCCATGCTACCCCCTCCACTCCATGGGAAGCGCTGGGGCACATTTGTGACCAGCTCCTCCAGCCCCCTTCCCTGTCACCACAAAGGAACAGACCTATGGATACCCTAACGGTGCAGACAAGCCCTGGGCTGTCTATCCGGACAGCCCTGGGGGGCCTGGGTTGGCGCTGCCCCTCCCATCTCTGCTTTCCCCTGGGCTTCTCCCAGCCTGGCCAGGCTGAGCATCTGCCGAACACAGCCATGGGGCACAGACCTGACCATCGGGCCTGGGTTAGAGGGGATGCCAGGCCATGGGCACACAGGCCGTTGGCAGTCACAGTCCTGGCTCGCCTGCCCCAGGGCCCACTCACCAGGTCCACCCACCCATCACACAGACCCCCTGCTCCCGACCCGGAAGGACGGTGTGTAGTCGGGGTTCCGGTTGGGGGTGAGGCCCACACCTCCTGCTGTGACCACGGGTGAGTAACCTCCTGCACCTCATTTCCCACCCTGACAGAAGGCAGCCAGGTCGATCTAGCCCAGCGCCAGCAGAAGGGTTGGGCAATCGGCGCCCGCCCCAGCACAGTCAGGCGGTCACTCCAGCTGACAGACTGCCACGGCCACGGAAGCGACGGCTGGGAGCTGGCTCCATCGGGGCAGTATCGCCCTCACAATGGTCCCCTTGCTCCTCACTTGCGGAAGCCCCCTCACTAGACGGTGAGTGAGGTCCTGGAACCGCTGTCCTTCAGAGCTCTGTGACCATGGGCAAGGGCCCGGCCCCAGCACCGCTGCCTCCTCCCTCCTCCTGTACCCAACGCAATGCCAGCTGAGGCTGTGAGGACCGAGGGGCTGCTAAGGGTTCCGAACAGCGCCTGGCGCGTGGCCACTCCCCAAACGCAGGCCATCAGCATGGTCGGCCTTCAGGGACAGGGCTCTGGCCTTCCTGCTCGGGTCTTGTCTGCTCAGCCCGGGGCCTTCCTCACAGGCAGCGTGCCCAGCAGAGCAATAGGAGGAGTTCTGGGGCTTCTCTGCCGTTGGCCTTGGAGTTCCCCAGCCCTGCTTCCTACTGGTGCCAGCCTGGCCTCTGCCCGAGCGGCAGGCCCAGCCCCTCCCTCAGCTCTATGTCTGGGGGGGGGGGGGCCTCTGGAGCTGCGAGTTTTAGGACCACTGTCCCCGCCCAGCTCACCAGGCCTCTGGACAGTGGGGCTGAGATGCCAGCAGTGGAAGGCCCCGGGGGCTCTTCCCGCCACATGCCCTCCTGTCCCCAGGCCCACGGGTGTTTCACGGTCCGGCGGCCCCACACCTACCGTTCTTGAAGGCCAAGAACTCAAAGACGCTGTGGACGATGGATACGATGATGGTGAGAGCCAGCAGGTAAGGGTTGGTCTCCAGGAGGGCGACCTGGAGAGGGGCAGGGTGTACATGAGCACTGCGCTCCCGGCCGGGGAGCGGGCCCCTTTGAGCAGGGGCTCAAACGTCCTGGCTGCCCCAAGGAGAGAACGTGCATCAGCCGGGAGCACAGCAGGGCAAGGCAGGGCAGACTGGGACAGAGAGGAAGGTGACGTGCAGAGAGACAGGGAGGGTGAGGCGGGGGCCTGCGGACTGGAGGAGACAGAAGGGACGCAAGTGAGGAACCGAAGCCCCGCAGCATCTCCAGCTCTGGGCCAGCAAAGCAGTCTCAACATTACTCACTGGGCAGAGGTCGGGACAGGACAGACTTAAGGACACGACGCAGTGAGAGCACAGGCAAGGGGTCAGGAGACAGGGAGGGGCAGGTCCAGGCCCTGAGGGCAGGCCGGGCACACAGAATGCCATGGCAAGGACAACAGAAGCACCCAGGACCAGCCAGGGCTGGAAGACCCATTTCCTACACGACGCGAGGTGGGGACCGGGGCTGTGCAAGCGGGGCGAGGGGGGCGTCAGGTGGGGGTCCCCAGCTGGTGAGGTGAGCCACTTCCCCTCGGCCTCCGCGGCCACCTCGCCCCACTCACCTTCACCGAGTCCTGCTCCTCGTCTGACTGCTCGTACAGCTCATCGCCCAGGAAGTTCCAGGGCGACTTGGTGCTCTGGGCGGCGTAGAGCTGCCAGCGCCACAGCGAGAGCGGGCAGAAGGAGACGCGCAGCGGCAGGCTGGCCAGGCTCTCGTTGATGGGGTAGTAGTCCTTCTGCAGGTTCCAGTAGTCGTTGAAGTAGATGATGGGGTAGTAGTCGCCGCTCACAGCGTCGAACTTCACGTCTGCGGGTACAGGACAGGGCCCTGCTCAGCCCGGCCGGGGACTGGACACCGAATGGGGCCCCTCTGCGCCACACTGGAGTGGGAAGTGTTTCCGGCTGTGTGCGGGAGCTAAGGAGCCCGGACCTCAGTGGAAGGGGCTGAGTGGAAAGGGTGGCGGGCTGAACAACGCAAGTGGCCATGGCCCAGCTCCGGTCACAGCCACCCAGTGACAAAGCAGTTATGAAACTTCCGTGTTATGAAAGCACCAGGAATCCGGAGTGCTGAGGGATACTGCTTCAGCTGTGAAAGCTGGCAGCTGAGCACATTTTCGGAGCAGCTTGAGGGCTGAAGGGGCCCTGCCCGCACAGTGATTCCAGCACCCGGCAGCCAAGCCTGGGCCCCCGGGGTGTGGGGGAGCAGAGGGAGCAGGACAGCAGCGCAGTGGAGACCTAGAAAGGTGGCTCGGGGGCCCCGAAAGGAGACAAGGAGATGCTGCACAGCGGGGGCTTACACTGGTCTAGGGGAGGAGGTACGCTGCCC